TTTTTTCCCACTATTTTATTTATTTTTATCACTGTTCTCGATACGGATTCCGATCGCATTTTTTTAGTTGTGTATTGTTCCATAATCTATATATAAAACTCAAACAGCCCAAACCAGTGGATGGATCGGGCTGAAATTTGGTATGCAGGTAGATTTTATGACGTAGGCAACCGTTAAGAAAGGATTTTGATCAATTCTACCCCCAAGGGGATAGAATAGGGAATGAAAGTTTGTATGAAACTTTGTCAATTTTAAACCGATCGGGCTGAGACTTTGCATGCAGGTATAAGAAGAATCATAGATGAATGTCATTGTGTATAATACAAGCTTGAGAACAAAAACTGTAGTCTACACTTCAGCTCTACACCGAAGCGAAGCGAGGGCGGGCCGCTAGTAAGTTATAAATCCATAGAATTTTAACAGGTCCCATGCTTTTCCACCACTCAATTTGTCATCAGAATAGGACACGGTCGGTTTTCATATAATTTGACGCACATGCGTCGTCTACTCAAATCTAGATATATGGTAGTGATAGACCATTGAAGTCCCAGGTTCTATCTACAGTGGGGAAATGTAGAAAACATTTTTTCAACCCTTCCCTTTGGATGCCATAGGAAGAATGGATCATGTGACCCACCACGCCCGCCCAGTGTGGATTGGTGGGTGATAACGACTGCAGATGCAGCCGGAACCAACAGATTTACGTGCCTTCCGAAGCACGGAGGAGCTCCAGATAATAAGTTTTTGGTCACCCATCCAATGATCGAACATTACGAAAGTTGGATAACTTCCACGATCGCAGGCCGAACGCGCTAACCATCTGCGCCATCAAGCCCCTCAGGGAGCTCTAGGGGTATTCCATTTGAGCTACTTACTTCAAAATAATGAAAAGAAATCATGTTAACAACTCAACGATGTTCAAGAATAGGGATGATGACTATTTTTTTTTCTTCGTTTATCAGGTAGATTATCAAAAAGTATTTGACACGTATTGTTTCTTTTTTCACATAATATAAACATTGCAGAGATATTTTGATTTGAAAAGTCGCATGACCTTTGAATACTTACCACTTATAAGTGAAAATTCACTCAAAAGTGACGTCACGAGCCCCCACTCCCAAACTTTGACGCGCTATAACTTTGTCATTTTTTAGTTGATTGCCCAAAGAAAAAATACGTGTCCATTATTTTTTGATCATCTAACTGACGGACTAAATAGAATTTCGTTTACTGTACCCCGTCATCACCCCTATTGTCATATCCAGATGCACTGAGTTTCGGAACAAAAAGTCATAACATTTACTACTAAATTAGCTCATGATATCTAGTAATATTATCCAGTTCTTAGCTGAATTGCTTTTAAACAGTTATTTCATCATTTTCATCATCATTATTAGCCTCTTGACTTATTTGATGACCTCCGTGGCCGAGTGGTTTGTACGTCGGGTATCATGGTGTCGCCGACTCGAGGGTCCCGGGTTCAAATCCCGGTGGTGGCAGACGTTAGTGTGATGAATACGAGCATTTGTACTCCAGTCATGGATATTTAATATGTATTTCTATATAAATATACTTATTTATTTACTGTCTATGTATTCTATCCGTTACCCTAGTATCCAACACAAGCCTTACAGTGCTTACTTTGGGGCTAGGCTAATTGGTGTGAGTGTTGGAAATATTTATTTATATTAATGTCCCCACTGCTGGGGCACAGGCCTTCCCTATGGATGAACTAGGGAGATTGGGCCACGACTCACCATGACTAAGGACTGCAAATGCAGCCAGGACCAATGGCTTAACTTACCTTCCGAAGCACGGAGCAACTCGAGATAGAAAATTTTTGGTCACCCATCCAATGGCCGACCACTGCGAAAGTTGCTTAACTTCAACGATCGCAGTCGATCGCGCTAACCACCCGCGTCATCGAGCTTCCGATTTAAACAGTATAGGTGCTTAAACAAAAACGTTACCAAGGAAATGAAACAAAGTTAGTATTTTTTCACGACATCCTTGGCTAGAGAGGTAAGTAAGCCCGCGCCAGTCTTAGAGTTGTCGCCTACTCAGAGACAAATCTTTGTGTGATGAATACAAGCATTGGTATCTAAGTAATGAATGTGTATATCACTACATAGTATAAAACAAAGTCGCTTTCTCTGTCCCTATGTCCCTTTGTATGCTTAAATCTTTGAAACTACGCAACGGATTTTGATGCGGTTTCTTTCAATAGATAGAGTGAATCAAGAGGAAGGTTGTAATGTAAAATACATGCATAATATAGTAGAGAAACACTGATAATTTTACAGGTTTTTAATGTAAGGTCGTAAATAAACACATTTTTTGCGCTTACATTGCAAACGCTGGCTGAACCCAACGAGATAGATCAAAATAATGTACTACAGTATTGTACACCTTAAAAAGGTCTACAAAAAAGTCTCAGATGGTATATGCCTATCTCTTTGGTATAACCCACAATAACCATTTTTTAATTACTTATTACGAGAAAATAATGGCTTATTTACGAACAAGCGATTTTAAGCAATACAGCATTAATCCTTATCCAATTAAGTACCTAAAATACATTGTGCGTGTAATATAGATCAATAATGGCCCTTTAAAGCATGTAATTTAAATGAATATTTTCGAAGATATTACAGATTTAAAATGCAGGAACATACCGGTTTGGGAGGTACTGGCCGGGGGGGGGGGGGGGCGGCGCGTGTCTTTAGTAATTAGGTATTTAAAGAAAGTCATTGTGTTTAATAGAAGCTTGAGAACAGAAATATAGTCTAAACTACAGCTCTACTCCGAAGCGAAACGAGGGCGGGCCACTAGTGTAATCTGTAATATAAAAATGAATCGCTGAATGTGTTGCTAAGCGCAAATATCGAGAACAGCTAAACGGATATCGATAATTATTTTTTTAGAATATTCCTTGAAGTACGATTAGATTAGATTTCTTCAGTGATAGCTCCCTCAGGATTTGGCCAATATCTGGTGTTTGTGTCCAAAATTTCTTGTCTAGGTTTGTTCGGTGAGGGCTTGTTTATTGTCTTAAACTCTGCTTATGGTGTGGAAGGGCTTTGTGCAAGTACAAGGACCTAGGATTTGGGAAAAGAATAGGGAAAAACAGAAAGGAAAGGTTAAGGTATAATTAATATGTTTGAAGTACGAGGATGGTTCTTACGCAGAGAAAAATAGAAAAAAAAAGCCTGAAAAAGTCCAAAAACTACACTTTTCTATACTCCCATACAAACGATTCGTAATAATACATAAAAGTCAATTTGAATTTTTATACCGTACCATAAATTTCAAATGTTAGTGGAGAGGATCCGGGAAGGTAAAACAATTGAGTGACGTGATGTCAATAGATGTTTGGAAAAGGCAAATATACCTTTTTCAGTTATTTTTATAATTATATAAAGAGTTTACTTAAGAAAGGATATTATACTGTCAATCAATATTTGAATGATAAAACGGCCTGGTTGTAATTTTACCTGTAGATAATTTTTCAAAAGTTATATTAAAACTAAGGCTCCCAGCCTTAGAAAGAGTTTTGAAGAGAACCTTGCACTTACTCCCTTTCATATACTTGTTCATTTTGTTTTGAAAATTGTTTTTTGCTATTTTGGGACTTATCTTTGCACTTATTGTTAGTAAATTCGTTGATTGTCTATTGTTACATATTTGACATTATGTGATGGAAGTTGACCTCAACACATGTTTGCAAGTTTGATGTCAACTTTCAATTGGACGACACTGTATCAAATAAAACAGAAAAAATCAGCCCTTGCTGAGTTTCTTGCCGGTTCTTCTCAGTACAAGGTCTCCCGCCGTAGATTTGCGAACCGATGGCGTAGCTTTTCGACATTCACAAGTGCTTGTAACAGCCTAGACTGAATAAACGATATTGAATTTTGAATGAATTTTTTTGAAGTTATTTTAGTCTACACTACAGCTCTACACCGAAGCGAAGCGTGGAAGGCCACTAGTTCTAAATAAAAATATACCTAATTATACAATGTATATCAGTTTATATATTCTATCCGTTACCCTAGTATCCCATAACACATGCCTTACAGTGCTTCATTGTGGGTAGGTTAATTGGTATGTGTTAAAAATAAATATATCTCACAATGCCGTAGCATACCTGTAGGAAACAATGTCTACTTACCTAATCTGGTTCTGATAGAAACGTTACTGTATCCAATCTTACTCTTCACTAAACAATTTTTTCTTTTATCAGGATTCTATAACTAAAAAATTGCCTTTTCGTGCTTTTTAAAATTTAGCCAAATCGGTACAGCTTTTAGAACATGAGAATTCCAAACATTCAACTTTTAAAAATTATTAAAAAACTAGTTTTTTACGGGTTAATGCACGAAACTTTATTCGTCGGAATCCTGTAAAGGCTACGAAACGTCAATAAATAAATAAAGTTTTGTGCATTAACCCGTAAAAAACTAGTTTTATTTAATGAGTGCTGTGCGTGAAAACCTGAGAAACAAATATTTAAAAAAATATTCTTTACTAAAATACTTTATTTTTAAATTCATAATTTCTAAAATACGCTAGTATCTGTACATAAACTTTCCCGATAATTTATTAGCCTCATCCGCCTTCCTTGATATATATACATGAGATGTTTAATTTATTCGTGAAATGACGGTATCTCAGTTTATGTATTATTAATATTAACCGCCCGATTTACTGTTCAGATGTATGGGATTAGGAGTTGGAGACGCCATCATTTGATTACATAATTTGAACGTTATTACAGTGCCATATAGCTCAGTTTAATCTAATATGTGTTGCTTTCACTGCCTCAAATTAGTAGTACATTTATGTATCCTTAATCAATTTAAATCCTGAAAGCTATTCGTTAATAAAGGGGTTTCCATGAATAAGACATGATTGTTATGTGTAAAATGTTTATATTTAAATTACGTAACAAACCGTGTCCAAACCAACAAACCTATAGCTACATGTGCCGCGCATCGTCGTCACATGAAAACGTCGTCGGCCAGCGGCTTGCCCTGAGGCCGGTCATCCTCAAACGTCACCATTTTGTCCCTCCCCTTCCCGGTAATAGCACCCCCCTTCTTTTCCAAAGGTGACAACTCGTACAACTCACCGACTCCGCTGAGATTAAACTCGCTCAAACTTCTCGGTACAAAGTATTCGACGCATTTCTCCGCGTGACCCGCCGACCTCCTGATAGGGGTGTTTCTTTGAAAACCCTCGTCACAGTTGGAGGACTTGCGCCGCGGCAGGCTGTTGAACTTGGTCGGGTTCAAGCTGTCGATCTTAAAAGTCACCTGCTGTCGTTTATCCTGACAGTTTGCGAAAGTCGCCGACGGCCCAGATTCGGCCGCCTCCCTGTGTCAGGAAACCACAGACATGGGTATCTTGTCATCGCAAATTTTCTCGACGCTGTGCACCGCTCTAGATTTCGATCCGCCGGCACAGAGAGCCATGAAACTTCTCAGCGCCGTGCTCATGTCCTCTTGTATGAGATTGAAACACATGGCGATGACGACAATGCCCACTAGAATGTAGATGCAGCACACGCCTATTGCTATGTCCTCGGCTTTAGCAGAAACCCTGCTGGCATATAGGCCAGGTTTGAGATCGCCAAATCCTATAGTAGCGAGGCTCGAGAAGGAGAAGTAACAACCTTCGATAAAGTTCCACTTTTCTGTAACGCGAAACACGAAAGTTCCTAATCCTATATACAGTACGATGAGGAATAGGCTAAGGATGATCGGCACTCGCGTGTGATCCCGGCACGTCCAATGATAGCCGCCACTGAAGCTGTCCAAGTTGAGAGCGGCTTGGAAAGGAGTTCTTTTGGGTCTTTCACTGAACTTGTTTTTATCACAGTCACTGTACGGCTTGCACTCGGCGGGGGTCGTGAGGCGCGTGAGACAGTCAGCCTTGGTGTGGAAGTTGCCGGTGTTGAGGGTGGAAGGGCAGATCTTGGAGTAGAGGACGCGAAAGTTCCTCGCCAGGGCCTCGCCGATGGTGGAGAGGTAGATCATGATGATGGGGATGCCGACGCAGGCATAGGTGATGGCCACCAGCTTGCCAGCCGGCGACTGCGGCGTCACGTTCCCATGACCTAAAGGGCAAATATTATACATATATGTTATTTATTTCTTGTGTTTTCATGCACACCAATTAATTAATTGTGTAAAAAATATTAAACAAATGATAAAAAGAAAACTACTGAATATAATTTAACGATTATGCAAGGATCTCGATGGCGCTGGTAGTTAGCGCGTCGCGGCCATTCTGAGACTGGTTCCGCGACCACACCCGCCCTCTCGGCATGCACTAGGGGGACCGCGGTCCTCATAGTGCGTGTCGGGTGACGGTGCAGGAGTATTGTCTGGTTTTAGTGGCCCTGTTCAGGGCGTAGCTAGGGCCCTGTTCACATCAGCGAGCTCCAGGGTTGGCTGAAGAGGACAGGGAGGAGTTCCACATACCTTCTCTTCTCGCTCCCCCAGTGGTTGACAAAAAAAGGTAGTCAGCGCGTTTGGAATGCGATCGTGGAAGTTAAGCAACTTTTGCAATGGTCATCATCTTATGGGTGATCAAAAACTTATTATCTCGAGCTCCTCCATGCTTCGGAAGGTACGTCAAGCCGTTGGTCCGGGTTGCATCTGCAGTTGTTAACACCCGCAAATCCGCACTGCGCCCGCATGGTGGGTCATGAATCAATCTTACTATATTCCATCTATTATATATGTTACCGTCCAAACCCGATTTCAGGATAAACTAGTTTTGTATTTGTTTCTTAGGTTTTCACGCAAATCTCTCATTATATAAAACTAGTTTTTACGGGTTAATGCACGAAACTTTATTTATTTATTGACGTTTCGCCTGTAAAGGCTACGAAACGTAAAAAACTAGTTTTATTTAAACTAGTTTTGCTTAGGCCAAACTAGTTGATCTTGATATAAATGCGCATACTCTAGGATAAACTAGTATGGCCTAGTCTAAACATTATAGTTTATCAAGAAAGTCAAAATAAATAGATCAACTAGAGTGTGCGTATTTATATCAGGATCAACTTGTTTGGCCTAGGCTAAACTGGTTTATCCTATCGGACTTTTAGTTTGGACTATATTCGTATTATAAATAAATAAAATATATGAATAAAATGTATTTTCTGTGTCTCACAATTAAACACAACGTGTGTATTACAGCGATGCAAACGAGCAAAATCTGACTGATATTCAGTTTTAACCCAGAATTGAAAGAAAATACGTTAACGCAAGCAATGTTTTACAGGTATAATGAATACAAATTTATCAAATGATATTATTCATTCATTAGTCCGTCCGATAATTTAAGATTCAGTACCAGCCGCCCACAATTATGAACCGTATGAATCCCTTAATTTTGAAATTGTCTCTAATTTAAAAGGGTGTTATGATTCTGTTAAAAGAAGCTGCCAGAAGAATTCACAGGGGGATATCCAGTAAAACTCGTAATATTATATAACACCTGCGTAATCAGGTTGATAAATTTTTCAACTCTCTATTTTACTCATTACAAGTAATTAACGACATGGGTTTAACTAGAATGTATTCATTAAAATCGCTGTAGCAAAATTGGTCAGTGCATCCGGGCAGATGCGGTAGCGGAGAGTGCGGGTTCGAGTCCCGTCTGCTGCCTGGACCGCGTGGACTTTTTTCTAGTAAAATTCTTTAGGTTTTTACATCTAGCAGTTGCATGCTTAATATAAAAATATGATTTTTCTTAAATTTTGACGACCTCCGTGGCCGAGTGGTTTGTACGCCGGTTTTCATGGTGTCGCCGACTCGAGAGGTCCCGGGTTCGAATCCCGGTGGGGGCAGATGTTTGTGTGATGAATACGAGCATTTTTACTCCAGTCATGGATGTTTAATATGTATTTCTATATAAATATACTTATATATGTACAGTATATGTATTCTATCCGTTACCCTAGCATCCCATAACACAAGCCTTACAGTGCTTACTTTGGGGCTAGGCTAATTGGTGTGAGTGTTGGAAATATTTATTTATTTATTATTTAATTATGATTAGTTTACAATGTGCTTCTAAATCAGTCCTTTTGATTATTTTCATGCCAATATAATTATTATCTATTGAAAATATAACTAGAAAAAATTCCACGCGGACCAGGCAGCAGGCGGGACTCGAACCCGCACCCTTCGCAATCCGGGCGAATGCACTGACCAATTATGCTACCGCGGCCCACACGGACCGCGTCAAAATTCTTCTAGCTATTCTTAAGCTGCAAGGCAGCGCTATCTCTTCGCATTATATATATTAGCTAGAAGAATTTTGACGCGGTCCGTGTGGACCGCGGTGGCATAATAGGTCAGTGCATTCGCCCGGATTGCGAAGGGTGCGGGTTCGAGTCCCTCCTGCTGCCTGGTCCGCGTGGAATTTTTTCTAGTTATATTTTCTTTAGATTTAAACATCAAGTAGTTATATGCTTTAAAATAATAAAAAATATAACTATTATCTATTATTAATAATACCACTCAAGTTGAGTTTGCAGCTTCTAAATGTCTTTCAAATACAAACAGAAAATTATTGTTGGAAAGATTTCCTAAACTCGAATTGAGTTTGATGCATGTTAATTTTTTTTTTTTTGTAAAATCTGTTGTAATGAGACAATTATCCCTATAATCAATCATAACGGGAAATGTCCGTTCGAATCGCTGTCCTGGGAAAATTTTAATGTACCAAAACTTTATCTTTATGAAAGAGAATTTCACTTCTAAATTATTGCTTAAAAAATTAAGGTACAAAAACCTTTTTAAAAACAAGCTTTTATTCAAATGCGCTAAAAAGAAAAAAAGAAAATTTAGTTAAAGTTTGTTTCTAAATAGATTTTCAAATTTTAGAAGTCCGCCATATTGGATTGAGAGTGACGTCACATTTTTTTCGAGTTACTCTCAGCAAGTCCTTTAATTTGATACCCATATTGTAGGAATGCATTAAAAATGATTGGTCCGCCATTTTGGGTATGCCGCCATATTGGATTTAGAATGACGTCACACTATTAAGCATGCATTGTCATCCGAACTGAACGAGCATACCAAATTTCAGCTTAATCGGTTGAGGGCAAGTGCTTTAAAATTGAGTTGTAAGATTTGACCGTAACAAACATACATAGCAAGTTAAATAAAAGCTTGTAAAAAGATGCTAGTTCGGATCCAGTCTGATATTGTTACAGCCTGGCTAAGAAGTTAGTCCAGTCTATAAACTGTTATGTTTCTATAAAAATAAAATATAAAAACAAAATATGACAGTCTAGTGAAAACAATGTGACAATCAGTGTGGACATTCTAATGTGCTAAAATAAAATCTCTTATCTATTAGGCAAGTCCGTCCGTCTGTCTGTGGTGCTGTTTCAGCGGCCAAACCGTAAGAGATACATAAAGAGAATATTTAAGGTATAAGTTAAGAATAGTCTGATAAGACTACAAACCGGATTTGAGTAACGTAGCACTTCCGGTTTTCGAGAAATACGAATTTCAAACGAAACCACACAAAATCTCCGAAGTTCTCAATTAATTAAATACATTTTTTTTTAAAGAAAATATAACTAGCAAAAATTCCACGCGGACCAGGCAGCAGACGGGACTCGAACCCGCACCCTTCGCAATCCGGGCGAATGCACTGACCAATTATGCTACCGCAGCCCTCACGGACCGCGTCGAAATTCTTCTAGCCATTCTTAATCTGCAAGGCAATTTCTTAATTTTTTCTAGTTATATTTTCTTTAGATTTAAACATCAAGCAGTTACATGCTTTAAAATAATAAAAATTATAACTATAATTGCTATTTCTTCTTTCAAATGTTTAAGACTTGTAAAAGTATTCATTTGACATCGTGGGTTACCTATAATGCGAAGAGATGGCGCTGCCTTGCAGATTAAGAATGGCTAGAAGAATTTCGACGCGGTCCGTGAGGGCTGCGGTAGCATAATTGGTCAGTGCATTCGCCCGGATTGCGAAGGGTGCGGGTTCGAGTCCCGTCTGCTGCCTGGTCCGCGTGGAATTTTTTCTAGTTATATTTTCTTTAGATTAACATTTTTTTTTTAAATCAGGTTTTAGTGAACATTTGGTTCACTGGTTTGCTAGTAAATAAATCTAATAAATAACTTTATAAAATCGAGTGTGAAGTGTTCAGTGTATCTAGTGACGTTCTTAGTCTGCATAATTATACCATAGAGTTGAACCACGCTCTGCTACTTAAACGTGAGTACTCACGTTTAAGGCCCATCATTGGAATGGTTTCATAATTATTTTTGAAGTTATACTTCTTTAGGCGCGTTATGAAAAAATGATGAGAGTGAAATTTTTAGATGCGCGCATCACTGTAACCCAAAAGTAACAGCATGAAGTTGGCCGCGGGCTCGTTATGAATGTTAGTGTCTAATAATGGTGGATTATTAACCACTTAGTGGTTAATAATCCACCATTATTAGACATCTGTTCGAAAGGTACTTTGAACGATCCACGGGGCTCCATAAGATGATCGCGTTGTCAAAAACAATGTTGGCACGCTCGTCGCCTCTGATCACTGTTTTCATATTTATAATATTTATCCACATGTTTCTAGTTTCTATATAGACACAACGTGTTTTAGTTACTTACAAGTGCTAATTACATATGGACTAATAACTTAAATTCAGTAGTGATTTTAATTGAATATTTTGAATATTTATTTAATTTTTCAAATTAAAACTGAACTTAATTGACTGTGTTAACTATCCTTTTCCAGTCCTTTTATTATTTTATTGTAATTATTAATTATTTGCATGCAATTAAAAAATATTTTTAATGATGCTAAAGAAGTATAACTTCTCACGCGCGTACATAAGTTACACGCATCCATTTTTTTTTTATACATTTCATCATCATCATCATTCATTATCAGTCTAATAATGGTCCCACTGCTGGGGAGTGGTGTGGTCTTCCCTATGGATTCTTGTAGTACTACAACAATCACAGATATTTCGGCTGAGTGCAATCATTCTTAGGAAAAACTAAATTTCTAAATCTGTTCTCAGTTTCATGCTTAAAATAACAATATAAATAATTCATAGAATTAAATATCGTTCTCCATTTATAAAACAACGTAATGGTGCGACATTGCACGTGAAATAACTGACTGAAATGTCAATCAAAATGTTTTTTTTGTTTTCAAACTTTCGCTTGGCTAAAGTAACAACATTTCGATTAGTAGAAATTAAGATGTCAAACTTCCGCCGGTACAGCAGATAATAATATAGTCAATCGAAAATACAAAAGCAATTACCAAATTGACTTGCTATTTTTCACGACAGCAAAAAACGAGTTAGGATTTCATGAAGAAAGGTCATTCGAATTTCTGTTTGCAGAAAATTTATCTATAGCATTAAATACTTATGAGATAGCAAGTGCGTGTTTGGCTATAACTACCGCCCGACCCATCATTGGAATGGTTTCATAATTATTTTTTTTATACATTTCATCATCATCATCATTCATTATCAGTCTAATAATGGTCGCACTGCTGGGGAGTGGTGTGGTCTTCCCTATGGATGAAATAGGGAGATTGGGTCATGACCCACCACGTGGGCCCAGTGCGTATTGGTACGTGATACCGACTGCAGATGTAGCCGGAACCAACGGCTTAACGTGCCTTTAACTCGAGCTAGATAGTAAATTTTTTGTCACCCATCCCATGACTGATCACTGAGAAAGTTGCTCAATTTCTACGATCGCAGCCAAACGCGCTAACCCCTTGCACCATCGAGCTCGCCTTTACACATAAATGACAATAATCTGATAAAAAGTTACTTGGCTTACCTATTGTTGTGATGAGAGTAAGCGCGTAGAGAAAGCTGTTAGTAAATGTCCATCTGTAGTCCCCATCGTGGTCGTACGAGACCCGACTCTCCAACGACGCCCCACCTCTGATCGTCTTCATCAACACCTTCTGGAAGTCCATCAACTCCTTCGCCGCCAGTTTCGTCCAGTTCTCCTTGTAAAGAATATTTAGGTCCTCCGTTATAGACCATAGTCTTTCCACGGTCTTCGATCGTAGATCACTACTGCTGCTTTGTGATTGACTGAGATTCGGTTTCGATGCAGCCACTGCTGTTTCTTCCGCTGCGGAATTGCCTTCTAAAGCCAGAAAGAGGAAACCCCCCAGAAGGTTGTACGTGAGGACCAGGAAACATATCGCGAGGCATGTCAACGGTGATGCCCTTCTTTTGTGTGCGCATCGACAGCAGAAGAACTTTGAGTCATCTGTACCCCTCCTTATGGTGAAGCAGCATTTTGTTTCCTCTGCGAATGTTATGTCGTTCTTGCAGTACGCTCGCTTGCCCAAATCTCTGCTACCTTCCTCTAACATGGTGCTAATGGGATGTCATAGCGACAATTCACCGAACTTTATACTTCTTGTGGTGCCTCCTTTGCTTAATGTTTGTCATTCTTACACGAACGTCGATAAATCTGGAACAAAGAAAGGAGACCATTGAAATAGCAATCCAAATCTGGCGGTGATTATATTCCTGTTCAGTTTTTAATAAAAGTTAAAAATACGTGCGATGATAATACTCTGGTATCGTAATTGAATCAGTCAATTCTCTTCTCTTTGTGTAAAATTTGTTTATGAGCCGTAAAATTCGATCTGATTAAAATAAAGGTTCGGTATCGTTGATTTCAAAGTTTATGTTAAGTACCCTTTTGTTGTTGAAAGGATATGGATGTTCCGAAAGTAATGATATTTGAAATTAATTAATCGCATACTTTTGCAAGTATTAAACATTTGAAATAAGCAATGGAAATTGTAGAAATTTATTTTATTTTAAAAGGTTAACTGCTAGATTTATAAATACGTTAGCCACTTGCGCTTTTAATTTCAATCTTACGTTTCGTTTGTATGGATCTTTTTTACTGTTTCACCTAAAAATTACAGAATGGATTTTAATGAAACTTTACAATAATATAGCTCATACATGATAATAACATATAGATAATAATTTATGTAGTCATTGAGTGAATTGGCCAAAATATAACAATAAGGTAAATAAAACTAGTTTTTTACGGGTTAAGTTGCATGCGATGGTTTTTCGTCGCAGGGCATTTGCGGGGAACAAATACATATTAATGTATACGAAATTGTAGGCAGCAGTTAGTTCGAAGTAAATTACTGTTTATAGCGCAAATAAATACTTTAAGTTGACATAGCTGAAGTTGCAAAAGTAAACGTCAGAGATACAGTTCGAACTCTAAACGGTTACAGCAAAATTAATTCCAATGCCTAGACTTCGAGTAAACACAAACAATTAGTTCTCAAGTCAAACTTAATCTGTGGGTTAATTACAGATACAGCAGTTTAGTAATTTTGTATACAAATACTTAAATGAGAGAGTATCTGATTGAAGAGCTTGATGGCGCAGGCAGTTAGCGCATACGGCCTGCGATCGTGAGTTTTTTAAAGAGCAACTTTTGCAATGGTCTTTGGATGGGGGACCAAAAACATGTTATCTTGAGCTCCTTCGTGCTTCTGAAGCCGTTGGTCCCGGCTGCTTCTGCAGTCGTTAGTAGGTACTGGGTAGGACCGGCGTTGTTCCGCGCCGGGGAGTCCCACACACGCCGCGCGCCCAGCCAGCGCGCGGTACGGTGCGTAAATGCATTTTCCATCGTCAACAAAAAAAAAAAATGGATGGAATATGGACACTAGACCTTGACCAACCTCGCGGGCCCAATGCGGGTAGGTAGGTACCTAGTAGGCATTGGGCCATATTTTTTTTATTTTTTTTTATTACCCACTAAAAACCACCGGTACCCTCCTACGCACCTTAGTGTGCGCCACTTCACTGGGACGCCCCCGGGCTGGCCTCACACGACACGCCTCTGGGGGATTGCGCTAGGGTACTAGGCAATCCCCAGACGGAGTGGCCTATGCCGAATGGCACCAAGGGCACGCGGCATCCAAGCCGCGGTCCATATTCCATCCATAGGGAATGCCTGTGCTTCTGCAGTGGGGATATTAATAGGATTATGATGACTATCTGCTTCATAACTTCTCCCATTTCTCGAACTATCACCAGAAGTTACAGGTCTTCCGTAACGTGGAGGTCACTTCTCCAGAAGAAGTTCGTTAATTTCACGTTAAAACGTTTATGATCTAAAAGGACATGGCTAAGAAACTGCAATTAAAGTGTATAATTATTTTGCATTAGCCCGTAACTTTATAATTATTTTTTTATTAATTATTACGTGTTTATAATTCTCATACAACTTTCGTGAAAGTATTCAAATATTTAAAAGTATAAAAATTGACTTCATGTCTGTTTCAAAAGAATAATGTTTCGTTTTACTAAAATAAATAAACAATAAATGTATACTAGAAAATATTTCTGTCAGTATGTCGAATTAAACAATATTAAATCAAAACTCCCAAAAACTACGACATATTTGGCCCTTATATGTATTATAACAAATCACGGAAGGCCTAAAAATAGATTTTATTTTTTTAATCAGGCTTGAGAGAAGGCTGTCTGATTATATTATTAAAGCTTTGATTTTTGCAAATGAACAAAATAAAACTTCACATTTGTATTTATTTATACTCTAAAAATGTTTTTTGTGAAGTGTTAACCAGATAAATGTGAGGAAATATTCTAAGAAAATGCTAAATTGATGGCTCTGTAAATAATTGGCAACATCTTTTATCAAATGTAGCAAGGTAATGACGTCGTAGGAGATCTCATAATTTTCAAGATTGTGACTTTACGAAAAGTTCCTGAGCCCCTTTTCATAGAAATTATAAATATTCAGCCATTCTGCATTATATATAACTAAGTACAATATTTATACATTCCTAGGGCAGTCGGTCAGACAAAATTTTACCATGTCCTTTAAAAAGTCTGTAGAAAATTTAATAATATGTTGTGTGTCAAACCCGGAGCGGTGGTGATTGTGGATTGTTAATTAACATTTTCTTGTATTAAATTATCTTCATTATTAAACAATTCTTCGTTACAATCGAATAATTACGGTTCGCGTGTTACCTGATATTTTGTTCAGGGTCCACCGGCAAAAACATCAAAAGCGAAGGGATTTCTTCTGAGAATTCATCATTACTACCCTTTACGATACGAGTTACAAATACCTATTTTCATTTTTATTGAGTGCTTTGTATTTTGTTCTACCGTTTATTTGCAAAATAACTTTGTCTATTTGTACTGTGAGGTAGCCAGAGGAAAATTTCTGAAAATTTTACAAATATTTATATGAGTTTTAAACTTTCATGGTCTCTAGCATTATAGTAATATAAGTTATTATCCCGTAAATAACTTATATTACTATAATATTTATATGAGAGCCATTAATTAATGTTTAACAAAGTAAGATACATAAAAAATTGGACTCAGCGACACTCTTATGACATCAACAACTCTGAAAGAAAGAGTCGGCCATTTTCATTTCACGTCAAATGAATGAAATGTTATAAAAGAATACCACTAAAAATTTAGAGATAATAAATTTTCTTCACTTAAATCTAAAGTACCTTTAAATTCAAATTAATATATTGTCCAGTCGGTGCCATGAATGTATGATAGATCTGAGATTCCATTTACTTCTTATGTTGGCATGGCAACGTCGTCACCTAATATTAATTGGACTTTAATGATACTGAAGGAGCTCGATGGCGCAAGTGGTTAGCGCGTTCGGCTGCGATCGTTGAAGTTAAGCAACTTTCGCAGTGGTCGGTCATTGGATGGGTGACCGAAAATTTACTATCTCGAGTTTCTCCGTGCTTCGAAAGGCACGTTAAGCTGTTGGTCCCGGCTGCATCTGCAGTCGTTAGCACCCGCCAAGCCGCACTGGGCCCGCGTGGTGGGACATGGCCCAATCTCCCTATTCCATCCATAGGGAAGGCCTGTGCCCCAGCAGTGGGGACATTAATAGGCTGAATATGATGATGATGAATATATCTGGATATATAGACTGAAGTACCTAATTTAAAATGAATTATATTAAAATTTCTAGTTTTTGTGGTCGGTTTTAAATTTTCGTTATAAAAGTTTTATTGTAGTATTTTTCTTTCACTAACTCTTCATAACAGCTAAAAGAATTGTTAGTCTATTCACAAGCTCACAAAAAGTCGATTTGAATAAGATATTTGTAACCATCTCTGGGGGATAGCAGCGGTGCGGGGCGGTTTGGTAATGGATCTTATTTGCATACCCTCATTATTTTTTATTATTAGTATAAGAAGTTCTTTTAACATAAAATCGCTTGTTTTTTATTCTAAAATACATTATGGTCTTTAATAATGTTTAATTTATGACATGAATAGTATTAAGCAGTTTATTAGTAACAATGAATATATATCGTTCATTAAAGCCTTAGCTTCTTAAATAACCATAACAATTTTTAAATCTAAAGAAAAATTTTACTAGAAAAAAAACCACGCGGATCAGGCAGCGGACGGGACTCGAACCCACACCCTTCGCAATCCGGGCGAATGCACTGACCAATTATGCTACCACGGTCCTGATGGTCGCGTCGAAATTTTAGCTGCAAGGCAGCGCCATCTCTTCGCATTGTAGGTAATCCACAATGTCTAATGAATACTTTTTCAAGTATTAAACATTTGAAAGAAGAAATAGCAATTATAGTTATGTTTTTTATTTATTTGTAAGCATTTAACTGCTAGATGTTTAAATCTAAAGAAAAGTTTTACTAGAAAAAATATCAGAATCAGGGCTGTGGTAGCATAATTGGTCAGTGCATTCGCCAGGATTGCAAAGGGTGCGGTTTCGAGTCCTGTCCGCTGCCTGGTCCGCGTGGTTTTTTCGAGTAAAACTTTTCTTTAGATTTAAACATCAAGCAGTCAAATGCTTAAAAATAAATAAAAACATAACTATAATTGCTATTTCTTCTTTCAAATGTTTAATAATTGAAAAAGTATTAATTTGACATTGTGGGTTACCTACAATGCGAAGAGATGGCGCTGCCTTGCAGCTTAAGCTTCTAGTAAAACTTTTATTTAGATTTAAACATCTAGCAGTTGAATGCTTAAAAATAAATAAAAAACATAGCAATTTTTGATTTCTTTTATGTTTAAAGTGTTGCAATCTTTTGACGACCAAAGCTTCGTCACGCATGTAGGAGAAGCATAATGTAATAAAAAAAAACTATTAAATAAGAGACAAACCTCGCAGTGTATAGTTATTGGTTTTCAGAGCTCAGGATCGTCAGTACTTGTTTATGCAAATGGATCCCTTGGAGACCATAACATATTTTGCGACGAAAGACACATAACGACGGCATATTAAACCTTTGCGTCCATCGCTTTTAGTTCCACTCCTTTGGGATGGCGGTCGATGGCTCCCC